TTCTGAGGTGTTAACTCCTACCTTATCTTTGCATGCCTTTGGAAAGTCTTGTCAATATGCTGACAATATACTGAATGAAAAATAGAGATCCTAACCAACATCTTGGTTTAAGGATGATTTTTAGATTTTCACTAATGAGGAAAAAATACAAATTCACATAGATCTTCACGTCATCTTGGAGAAGCATGGTGGAAATCAATTCCAAGTATCAAGGTTTGTCTGCTGCTAACTGATTTTACTATGCAAAATAAGTAATGGACCTTTCTCTGTTCCCAGAAATGAAAGGTTCACACAGTAGAAAAAAAAAACAGCTTTCATCTACAATCCCCACTGCCTAATCAGAAAGTCATAACTGCTGTCCAAATGTCAGACTATGTATCTCTTAATGATATTCCCAGACTTAAATATATAATATAATCTAGTCCACTGTTTAGATAAGAGGCACAGACAACAGCGTGGAGTTAACATCAGCTGTCATTCACGCAGCGTTTTTCTTACTTGGTAAGTGTTTCATTTACCCAAGATAGAACACCCAAGGTTCAGCTTACTCTGTGTGCCGTGGTTTCACTTGCATGTGCAGAGTTTAGGAACACAGGGGCGAAACCTGGGAGGTGTGCAGACACATGGAATGGACACGTCCTCCTGCACCACCACCCTACACTGACAGCCAAGAGGAAGCAGCAAAACTTGGCCCCAAGAGGATGCCTGGGGGATCAGCGTGAGTGTCTGCAAGGTGTACTCAGGCAGAGATGAGAAGCCAGAGGCACCAGATACAGGGGGGTTCCGAGAGTTCTGCTCCCTGTACCAGGATGCTGTGAGAATTCTCTTCACAGGGCCAGAGCTTCCTGTCCAAGCCACACTCACTCCACGGTTGCTGTTACTGTGAATGTCTCAGCTTGGCTTTAAGCTTGGCTCCAGCTGCCAACAGATTCACTAGGATGAGAAGATGATACCAGGCAGAAGAGCACTCAGAACTTCATTTTACAAAGGCCACTACACGCAGCACACGAGGACTCCTCTCTCCATGAATGACACTTTTGCCAAACAAAACCTGAGTAGGAACAAATTTTTCAAAATTTACATTCTTAACTCTCCTAGTCAGGGGAGTCTAGGACTTTAGGTATACCTACATTAACAAAAATCCTAAATAATAATTAAATGTGAAAATTTGCTGCTATTACCTCCGAATCCCCTAACAATAAATATCTTAAAATCCTGTTCTACAAGCAAAGAAGGAAAATGCCTTGAATCTAAAATAAAACTTATGCAGAGCTGAAGCCAATAAAGGGCCTTCCATAGAATTGCAAGGCAATTGCATAAGGGGGCTGGTATCTAACGGTGTCTGAGGCCAACACTGAGGTTCCCTGTACAGACTGAGTAGTGACCATAGAATATAAGAAAGCTAAACTAAAAGCAAATGACTCATGAGATAACATTTTAAAAAAATTTTGTGACTTAAACCAAGTAATAATATTCAACAATATGACATGCATGCTTTCAATATCATTTAACATGTTAGTTTATGATAGGTATATTTTAATCTCCTCATTCATTAATGTGCCAATTCATTTACTCATGCATTCAACTGAGATTTATTGATACACACACACACACACACACACACACACATATATACATACATATATATACATATATAAGTACATACATGTATTCCTTTTTATTTCAAAATCTCTTTGGTTTAATCTTTTAACAGCTTTTTTAAAGTAAAACTGACATATAAAAAACTGTACTTGCTTAATGTATATAATTTAATGAGTTTACACACAAAAATTTCTCAAAAAAACCTGTCAGAGCAAATTTCATGCAGTAAAATTATAAAATGCAAAATCATTATATAATAATAATTGCCAGTTGGAGTTGTGGCTCAGTGGTAGAGCGCTTGCCTAGCATGTGTGAGGCCCTGGGTTTGATCCTCAGCACCACATAAAAATAAATAAAA